ACCGCTCTTGCATTGAAATATTAATAGAGGCATTGCTCTTATTGTAGCTTTTCAAATAAAAACAATTATGGCAGTTCTGATTCCCCTATTCCCACTCAATCTAATAGTCATCATCTCACTTGGACTCTTACAGTGTTTTCCTGATAGGTCACTAGTTCTAGTTCTTCTCCAGTATCATTTTCTCAGATGTCTATATTTCAACAAAGTGGCTCCCCTCACTCTCTAGCTTTACAGTCCTTTGAAGTCTCTCTCATTGCCCAGAAGAAAGTCCAGTCTTTTTATAACACAAGAGTCTCTATAAGTCCACCCCGGGCCATCTTTTCATCCCCAAGTTAGTTACCATTCAGCCTGCATTCTGACCATGACATCAATTTACTCCTCTTACTCGTTCTTTTTTTTAAATAAATTTTATTTATTTATTTTTGGCTGTGCTGGGTCTTCATTACTGTGTACAGGCTTTCTCTAGTTGCGACGAGTGGGTGCTACTCTTCATTGCAGTGCACGGGCTTCTCTTGTTGTGGAGCATGGGCTCTAGGCATGCGGGCTCAGTAGTTGCAGCACGCAGGCTCACTAGTTGTGGCTTGTGGGCTCTAGAGCGCAGGCTCAGTAGTTGTGGTGCATGGGCTTAGTTGCTCCACGGCATGTCGGATCTTCCCAGACCAGGGCTTGAACCCATATCTCCTGCACTGACAGGTGGGTTCTCAACCACTGTGCCACCAGGGAAGCCCCTACTCTTACTCATCCTTAAAATTACCTGATACTGTCATCTTTGCTCATGTAAGGCGCCCTCTATGAACTCCTCATCATCAGTTGATAAAACTCATGTGTTTAGTAAATAATGTGAGAAAATGTGGATGAAAGAGAGGTGGAAGGTGCTTATTACCCTTCCATAATCTTCATTATCTCCCCAAAGCTGTCCTAAAGAAACCCATAATCTAAGTAAAAGTGGTGTGCTGAACAAACACAAGTTAATCCCTAGGAAGCCCTTCCAGCAAGATACTGCTCACTCTTTTATAGAAACCTTGGAAGCTCCCAACATGCTACCTCTTCTGTGACGCCTTTGGAATTCCCTCTTTACAGAGCCACACCAAATAAGCATTACTCATTCCTTCTATGCTTTTAAAGCACTTTGTTCCTACAGCCATTACAGCACTTAGCACTTATTTCAGAATGAAATGGTGACTTGTTTTGGTGTGTGTGGCTGATTTTCTTAATAAGCTATGAATTCCTTGAGGGTAAGGACCATTTATTATTCATCTCTGTATTACCAGAGCCCAGTAGAGTGCTCAGTAGATAGCAGGAGCATAATTAATATTTGTTGACTAAATGAATAAATTAATCATCATCAATGCACCATAAAATCTTATGATTATAGGAATGGATTCCCAGGCTAAATACAGCTTTAAGAAGAAAAAGAATCTGTCATATCATCAGAAGTAGAAATTATAGAATTTATCTCATTGATCTGTTTGTAGGTATCCCTTTAAAAGTTATTATTAGGCGGGCTTCCCTGGTGGCGCAGTGCTTGGGAGTCCGCCTGCCGATGCAGGAGACGCGGGTTCGTGCCCCGTTTCGGGAAGATCCCACATGCCGCGGAGCGGCTGGGCCCGTGAGCCATGGCCGCTGAGCCTGCGCGTCCGGAGCCTGTGCTCCGCAAATGGGAGAGGCCACAACAGTGAGAGGCCCGCATAACGCAAGGAAAAAAAAAAAAAAAAAGTTATTATTAGGACTATCATTTTTGCCTTGACTTCTCTGATTCCCAAAACTATGTGTTCAGCTTTGACCTCTAAGCTGATATCTTACATTTTATTTGAAACCTCCTTTAACTCTCTTCCATTTGAACATGTTCCACTTACCTTGAATTCAAATTTTCAAGAAAAAAAATGTCAGTCTACTCTACCAAGGAGCATTTGATACTCTCTTTAAATCTGTCTGCTAGAATTCCATTGCATTGACCTGAAAAATATCCAGTCCAGAAGGACTGTAAATTCATGTTTTGCCCATTTCCCTGCTCCATATACATAGCAGTTAATGACAAGATATAACAAGAGAAAATTAAAAAGAAGATGAATTGTGGATCAGAAAGAGCAGAAGCACAAAGTATAAGCTGGGCTACTGTCAAGGACCTGATGTTTTCTGGGTCCACAAGCCTGTGAATGCAGGAGTATCTCAACTGCTGTGATGGTAAGTTGGGAATTAAAGGTCTCACCCAAGGCCGGTAGACTGGAGCAGTAGCACATGTAGGAAAGGAACCTGAGAAAGAGCTGCCATAGTAGCTTGGGCTTTGGCTTAGGGATCTGGGAGCCCAAAGAGAAAGCAGAGGAAGCATCTCACCAAGTTCCTGGGCCAAAATCTCTAGAGTTCACAGAGTTTATCTGCCATATTCATATGTATATGTCATTATGGGGACAGAAGACCCATGACACCAAACTAGTCCTTTTTGGACAGAAGGGTTAAGTGGAGGCCACCACAAAACCATTAGACAGAAAAAGGTAGCCAGAGAGAAAGACAGAGACAGAGAGAGACAGAGAGAGAGAGAGAGAGAGAACAAGCAAGGAAGCAAATGCTTTCTACTCAATATTAGCTATAATATAAAAGTCCCAAACGTTGGAGGAAAACTAACAAAGATAGCCCTTAAAATCAGCAAAGAGATGAATTTAACATAGAAAAAATATAAAAATAGAATAAACTATAAATAACTTTGTCAAGTTATTTAGGCTCCTCAAAAATATAAAGTAGGAATCATCAAACTATGGCCCTGCCAGCCACTTACCTGTTTCCTCATTTTATCTATTTATTTTTTTAACAGCTTCATTGAGATATAGTTTACATCCCATAAAGTTCATCTGTTTAAATTGTACAGTTCATTGGTCTTTATTATATTTATATAGTTGTGTAACTATCGCCATAATCTAATTTTAGAATATTTGCATCATCCCAAAAAAGAAACCCCATACCTGTTAACAGTCACTCCCCATTCTCCACTTCCCTGAAGCCTAGGTAACTACTAATCAGCTTTCTGTCTCTATAGATTTGTCTATTCTGGACATTTCATATAATGGGATTATAGAATAGGTGGTCTTTTATTAAGTCTGGCTTCTTTCACTTAACATAGTGGTTTCAGAGTTCATCCATATTTTATATCATGTATCAGTACATAGTTCTTTTTATTGCCAAATAATATTGCATTTTGCTTTCC